CCAAAAAATACATTTGAGGTTCTTTGAGCTCAGATCAAAATTGGCTATTACTCTTTTAAAAAGCAAAGAATTGTACTATCTAACAGTGAACATATGCGTGTAAATAGCAATGTTACATTTCAAAAGTACAATTTGTTCAGATATTACAGCAGTTATAAAATCTTGTAGTTTTCTGTTGTTCTGAATCACGTCTGATAATTATAGTTCATAAAAAAGAACTCAGTTTCAACTAATATTTCCGCACATGCACTGACCTTTGTAGTTTCTTAACTCACAGTGATCTTAGTCTGAGTAACCCACTTTAAGCAACCTAAATTTCTGTACGAAAGCCTTGTGTAAACGATTGATCAATATGATCTACTCGATGACCACATTCGCTCTGCAGTTTTCCCACCTAAGTTTTAGATGACATTAAAAACTTCTCTTTGCTTGCTGATAAAATAAAGTAATAGAACAAAGCTATCAAAAAATTTTACAAAGAAAAACAGCAGACGTCTGGAAATAAACAAAAATGCGTTGAATTAAGTATAAAGAGAGTCTGCTAAAGCCAGTCTAAAAGTTGTTTTTAAAACTAAGGTTAAAACTAAAAACCTGTGTCATCTTTAGTATTTTATTCATTTGTGCTTTCAGTGTTTTAATTTTACCTTGTGACAGCATCAGCAAATCTATTATGGTGTTATTAAAACAGTTTTTTTTTTCGAGACAGATAGAAAGTGTCTAATAAAAAACACTTAGACAAGCAAACAGATTTCAGATTACAAAGGTCGTTTCAACTACAGTCTTCTACAAAAATACTGAAAATCTTGTTTTAAATGTCGGATGCAAAATAAAATTTCATACAACTAAAAAAGGATGGGTTTATACGATCTATCTGCTCATTCAATGCTTTAAAAATTGGACGCTGTACCTTTGTGTATACTTTTAGCCGTAGCTACTAGAGAACAATTTCGTTATTGATTACTGAAGTTAATGAAGCGCAGCAGAAATAGTTAAGAGGACAAGAATTAAAACTTCACTACTTGTTAACTGATTATTATTCAATTAATCAAAAGGTCTTAAAATGCAACTTAATTTTCGCGTAATATTAGAAGAATATGAAACAGCGAAAGATAGCACAACTGCATCAAAAAAAACTTAGTAATTAAGTTATTTGCAGATATAAAAGCATTCTACTTTACAAACAGGTCGAAACAAGCTATAAGTCAATTAGATTCCTTAAAAGTTTCTGTACCTCAGTTTTGCTGAAAAATAAACTAGAAAGGCAAATGAAAAATAGAAAAAATATGCACTTTGAGCGTTGCTCAACAGTGGGAAATTTTGAAAACAATCGCTTATTTCTGTTTTCTCTTTTTTTTTCTTGTTAGCTAAAACGACAGTATTGCTTTGCTCAAGTAAGGCTAATTATATTTCAAATGTTTAAAGAATGAGCTTTACTGAAAAGTGTACCTGTCTTTTATAATAACACCTAAAAAATTTTCAGCTATTTGTAGCAAGACTTCCTGTCAAAAAAAACTGGTATCAACATTAAAATTAAAAACTTTTCAGTCTTTTGTCTCCCAAAAAATTTCCTTGACGACAACGCAAGTAAAAAATTAGCATTAACTTGCTTATAAAATTCTAGCTTATTCCTGGTACCGTAACAAATCCAAGTTTTGTCTAAATAATATTCGTCAGTATTTCAAAGTCCCAGACTTAGCGTAAATTTCTCGAGCATTGACAGGAGACTGCTTGAATCATCTTTCTTTTTGCAATCTAAAATCAGAGCTTGATCAGCCTACATTCTTTTATTCGTTTTTTTTCAAGGTTTTCAAAAAAAAAAAAAAAGATAATTAAACTCAACTTTGTTTAAATTCTTCATTCAACAAAATCACCGAAAAGTCGGCGGAAATTCTTACAACAATAAATAGAAAACTTTTTTCAGTAATATTTCAACAAAAAAAGTTGTTATGATTTTCTAAAACGAAATTATTTGCTGAAGCAACTGTGCGGTATTAGAAAATTATATATATATAGTTTATTAAATTATACTTGATTTTAACCGTATATTACTCTGCTATCAAAAATTGCTTGTTGTTTCGCTATTTGTGCTCCAACTGATATTTTCTTTCACAGATATATACAATAAATTACCTATAAAAAGCACACAAATAAACAAATGTATGTAATATAAATATGTTAATCTTTGAATATAAGTAGCAGTAAAATAGTTTTTTTAAAAGCACTGTTAGTCAAGAACTTTTTTTTTTTCTTCACTAAAAAGGCTTAAAACCTACTGCAATTTTTAACAATAAATTTCACTGTAATTGGTAATTATAAAATTTAATATTTCTATGACTACTTCAAGTGCGAAATTTAAACACTTTTTAAAAATTTAGCCAGTAGTTAACGTGTATTTTCAAGAGTTCAATTTTAAATTATCTATAATACTATTTAAAAATTATTTACCCTAGCCTTATTTTCTGCAGTAACTTGTTTCTTTTGAAATTCAGAAAATCACATTTGGTCGCTTCATAAATTTTAGCTGTAAATACATTTGAATTTTTGAAGCATTTATTTCGAGCAACCTACGTTGTAACAAAATCCTTTGCACCAACCCTACTCTGGCTCCATCACCAAAATTAGCAAAAAATGACAAAATCTTAGTTTGTAGCAGGCAAAAACTTTGTAAATCGTAACGGCCTTGTTTTCTACCTCTTCTCCTTGTATGAAGTTTGTCATATTTCGCAAAGCAAAGTTACTTTTCTACTTCGCGAGAAAAAAAACGAACGAAAAATTGCAGGTGTAAATTTTCTACGATGAAGCCAGGGCAGGGGACTTCAAGCAGAAGAAGAAAACACGAAGAAAGGAAAGAGTTGCTCAAATTTTTTATTTCTTCTCTGATTTATAGTCATCATTATCATCGCATTTGTAAGTACAACTAGCTGAGTACTTGTAAACAGTTGCTAAAACAGACCGTATGATGTCAGTATGATGCTGTTGGGGAGAAAGCAGCAAAATATTTTTTGATGTGACAGCGACGATATGGAACGTTAAGGTATAAAATTAAGAAGAAAGTTTTGAAAAATGGCTTTTTTATTGCCAAATAGATTGATTCATTCAAGAGTACAAAAAAATTTCAAAGAAAACTGAGGTGAGAAAATACTAAAGTTTCCAATTTTGTGAGAGTGAGAGCCACATTCACACTGCTGTTGCATAATAAGAGTTGCTCTTTACAAGCCATTCTTGTATAAAAAAGCTCCCCGACAGCTTCATTCTAATGACGAGGGTTGGGGGCTAAAAAGAGAAGAGCCGAAACATGAAGAATTGAGAAAATGAGAAGCTGTAAAAGCTGAAGGAGGGAAGCGAGACGAGGGGACAATCTTAATATGTATTAGTTGAAATATAATGGTTTTCCAGAAAGAACATTTTGTGCCTGAAGTGCGGTACAAAAAGAAAAGTTGCAGATGAGCTACTGTGACTGAAAATTAAGTCAGATTATGTTTCAAAAAGCATTTAAACTTCATTTGATCTTTTGCGGCTAGAGTTTTGTCTGTAACATCAAATTTTTTCTGACATGTCTTCGCTATGTTTCGCTTATAAAAACAACAACACAGATTCAGTTGTATATCACCTAGCGGCAAACATAAAAAGGACGTCTCAGGATATTTGTGTGTGTGTGTGTGTGTGTGTGTGTGTGTGTGT